TCAAATGATATGATTAATTCTAGAGTTAATAATGATAATGTTGATAATAATGACCATGACATAGAGATTGATGATGACGAAAGAGATGAATTAGTATTTTCAGATGATGATCCAGAATATTTGATGGAGATTGATACACTAATCAAACGTAAAGATGGAAAAATCCCATTCCTTGACATGACTTTCAATTTTGTACTCAAAAAAAAAAGAAAAAAGCCCGCGATCATTCAAATCGATGACAACAATAATCTAACAACTCCATCATCATCATCATCATCACCACCATCATCATCATCAACATCAAAAACCACTCGTAATGATGAGAATTGTGATCATATCGATCAACTAAATAGCAACATTAAATATACAACTGATGATATCTTTTATGGATCTGATCTTACAGAGGTTGAAGAATCTCCTAAAAAATTAAGAGGAAGAAAGAGATCATTTCCTAAAGATTTCAAAACTTGTGATGATAATAAAGATGACGATAATAACAACAAAGATGATAATAACAATGATGACTATAACGGAGATAATGATGAGAAAAAAAATCAGATTTATAAGAAAAGGAAACTAGATAAACCAGCACCATCATCATCATCACCAATAACAAAACAAAAAAGAAAATATGATAAAAACCCCCCTGATTCCAATGTCACAATCGTCACAACTGCTGCTACAGCTACCACAATACCTTTCCCCACCACGTCAAACATTCCCAACACCACTGCCACTTTTACCTCATCACAATCTGATGGGAAAAAAAATATTTTCAAATGTAGAGTTCCCGGATGTGAAAAAGTATTTAGCTCATCAAGCAACCGTAGTAGACACCGACGTTTAAAGCATCCAGAAGATGATATTGGTGACGATGACAAAGGTAACAACAAAAATGACAACAACAATAACAACAACAACAACAACAATAATGACAGCAACAACAATGACAATAATGACAATAACGACAACAGTAATAATAACTATAATAACTATAATGACAATAACAACAATAAGAACAATAAGAACAATAAGAACAATAAGAGCAAGAACAAAAACAATAAATGTAATGATTGTGGCAAAAATTTTGCCACAGTTAGTACCTTGAACCGCCACAAACGTTTACACAAAGTTTAATTCTTTTTTTTTGATATAATGTTGGGAAATGAAAGATATCAATTGATTTTATTCTTTTTTAAAAAATTGGTGAATTTAATACTTCTTAATGCTATGTATGTATATATATTTACTCTTGTATATATTTTTAATATAAAATAAATTTGGCAATTAAATTTTTTAAAGAAATAAATAATGTTGTTATAAAATGAGAACATTTAGTTTAGATGAAAGAGAGCATGTAATTAAAAAATAATCAAAAACCTTACTTTGTAACTAGAAGCTTCTCATATTAATATATATACATTTTTGTCAGGCTAATAATGTTAACTAGAATCTTTATGGTTTTAATTATGTGTAAGAATTTTAACTGCATTGATAAAAATATGGATACATGATAATAATAAAGAGTTGTTTGTAGAGACCCAGCGAATGACGAACTATGACTTCCAAGCTATTTAATGCAAAGCCCTGGCCTGAATTATCCTTGGTCAAAATCATAGTAGTGGAATTTGATTCAATATTTGTTGAAGACAACCAGTGATTTAAAAAAAAAATATTTAAAATAAGACTTAATGATCTTATTATGATTGCTTTAGGAGAACTCCATACATCAATGAAATCATAAGTTATTATTTTTTAGAATTTTAATTGAAAAGAATAATTTTTTAGTACCAAGTTGCAAAAAATAATTACATCTAATGGACACGTTTTCTTGTGGTCCTCTACCTTTTTGTTTACGCATGTATCAGTCATTTTAAATTTATATATATAAATAATATATATCATTTAATTGAACCTTGATTGACGACTGATTGAGTTTTGTGGATTTCATTCTTTCAATACGGAAGAAGCGAGTGAAATAGAAACGGTTAGATTATCTAATGTAAAAAAAAAATCTAATTGGGTGTTACGATGCAGACGAAATGCAAGAGACATATAAAGTTGTTTACAATTGAGAGACAATTAACTGAGTTGATTGATTTAATTTATTTGATTTCATTAATAATGTGATTGAATAATTTCATAGAACAAACGAATGCACTATTGTTTCCCATGCTAACTATAAATATTATCCAAGATGCTTACACTTTGTTTATTTTGTCATCATAATCGTTAAATGTTTTGTGGTGACAGTGTGAAGATATCAATAATTCAGCCTTTTTCCTTTCAGAGAATAACTAATATACACTCTATGTATATTTTACGTCAACTATTTGCTTATTCTATGTTGACCCGTAGAACATTTATTATTACTACTAATTTTCCTAATGAATGTATAGTGACACATTCTTGAGCAATAATTTGCATTCTAAAATTGTATGAATATAGTTCGTGCTTCCTCCAAATAAAAAAGTTTGTCATGCAGAGTTTAGTTATGTGAAATGGGCCAGACTATAATAATCAAAGCACGCCACATTATATAATTTTTTCTCATCGTTGAGAAAACTAATGGTAAATTAACTATTGTGTACTCTTTTTAACTCCCCTTTCATTTCTTGAATAACCTCTAATTTCTATTATTTAACTTCCTTTTTCACTTGATGCTACTGATATTGCTGTTTTTGCCACCGCTAGTGCTATCAAAAGTCCTAGCATTCTCTACACTTTCGAAATGAATATAAACAATGAGTATAGTAAAGAGAAAAGTTGCCATTATTAATGAGAACGTCTATATGATTCTAAATTCTTCACACTGAAATGACATTACATTGAAAGAGAAACAGAGCGAGTGCCTGATTAATCTAAAAAGAAGTGAATTTCCTTCGTCTAAATAAGAAAGACCAACGATTTCTGAGGCCTTGAATGTGAATGGAAAGAAAAAAGTTTAATCGCTACATACTACTATTTCTTTATACTGTTGATATATTTAAAATTGTAGTCGATATTTTTTAATGAAGTGTCATCATGATTTGTTAATATATATATTCCTTCATTTCTTTTTTACAGACGTTTGGCTTTTTAAGAAAGCTGTTTCTGATTTTACCTGAAAGACATTACATTGGACTAAAAAAAATTTTGATTATCAGTTGATAAAAATTTGAGGACCTCAATTGATAGTAGTACAGATCAAGATTTTTGACCCATTTATATTTATATTTATACAACATATCCGAGGTTATATTCTTTATTATTTATATTCTTTGCTTTTAGATAATCCATTTAATATTAACAGAAATAAGTCAAAGAAACAAAAATTATATAAAGTAGTTTCTTCGGAGGATGAAGAAGAAGATGATTATTATTATGGAAGAAAATCAGATAATAATAATAAAGAAGAAAACGTCAATAGTAAAAATAAAGATAGAAAAATTAAGAAAAAGAATAAATCAAAAGTTGGGTCAACGTCTTCAGCATCTTCAATATCAACAAATAATAGTGACAGTGTAATAATAATAGTTAACAACAATAATAGTATTCACGGAAATGGATTTGAAGCAACGACTCCTTTAGATTTAATTAATGAAAATCAACAAACTAAGGCAAATTTCGTTGAAACAATGAAAATCATTAAAAGACAATCAGCAAGACAGAGTCAATTATTATCAAATTCCATTACTAATGTTACTACATATCATAATAACTATGATAATGATAATGTCAATATTGACGAAGAAGATATATCCACCATTCCACCATCATCATTAACAACTACAACTTCTCCAATCAACACCACTAATACAGTAAAAATAGAGGAAGAATTGTCAAATTTTTCCGATTATTCAATAGAACAAATATTAAAGGATCGATCAATTTATCTAGCATGTAAATTAAAACAAAAATTATCCACAATGTTTGATGGGTGTCAATTAATTTTACCAGAATCAACAAAAATCATTACTACCAATGCAACTTCTTTTTCCTCTTCGAGATCTCAATTTACACAAATCCCTCTGACTGATTTTACTAAAACTTTAGCAGATCGTATTTACACTTATTTATTCTTCACCACATCATCAATCCTATCACCGAATCATCCAGCACGTCTTAAAATTCTATCAATTCTATCCGACCAGTTATCACTCCAAGGCGACGCTCAACTAGCAAACAAATCTTTTGGTGAATTGTCATTTTTCACAATGAGATTCACCCTCGATCATTACTTTAAACATTCAATATTACCATGTCAAAAAACATTAATTGTAGAAAAAGCGAGAAATATTATAGAGAAAAGTGTTGAAAGTGAGAATAAGTTGAGTGAAAGTGAAAGAACTTGTATGTATAGTTTTCATAAATTAATGAGTGGAATCGATTGGGATGATGAAAATATGAAGGTTAACTTAATGTTTGCATAAATAATATTAATACTTTAATAATTTAATTTCTTTTTTTCTTTTCATGTAATTAATGTAATTAATTAATTTCTTTTTTATTATCAATTTGTATTTTATATTTTACTAATTATTGTCATTAATTAATCAAATTTTAATATTAACTAAGTTTTTAAACTTATTCACCCTCATTTCTCCAATAAGCTATAGAAATATTTAGTAACATAAAGTTACTGATCATCTTTTTATCATAATGAAAAACAATATAATGTTATATATTTTAAATAAAATGAACAACTTATTGTTGATAAATCTAAATACTTTATAACAAACAAATGGTTACTAATTGACTTCTGGCCTACATCTAAAATAAAGTGACCTGGGACCAAGTTTGAAAATTATTGGTCAATCACACACATTTATTCAAATTTAGAAACCAATTCCAGAATAATCTATGTTCCTTTGTCAATGTTACAATGCGCCTTTTTAAAAAATTACAATGATTTTCGTTAAACTCGTACATGGGATCTTTTCCAGCAAAAACCGTCTCTGATGTCATTTGACCAAATTAATCTATAACATAAAGATTATAATCAATGTCCTTGTTTGCTTAATAAAAATGGGAAACCATAGATCGGATACCTTTTTAAATAATTTGCACAAGTCTAAAATTGAAAACCACTTTGACTAAACCTGTGTTATTAATTTATAAAACATATTAATATATGTGAATTTCGGAGACAGGCCGTTATACACTATAGGAAATTTAATCAAGTAGACCGTTATAGAGTAGGGTTTTATATAGTAAAAAAACAGGGATCCGATTCTCAGTTCATTATAAGCGCAGACCGTTATAGAGAAGTGTACGTATAATCTTTATTGTTATAATGGCTGACGATCATAGTCTGAAATTATAATTGCTAAATTAGTAAATTTTCGTACCACATCAAATTAAGCTATAGTTAGTTTTACTGTAATTATTTGACATAGGAACAACCTTCTAACTTTCTTATTACTTTGTGATGTTAATGTATATAAAAGATTTTGATTTGCATCAAATCGATGGTGCATGAAAAAATTGTCAAAATATTTAATGCAAATAAATAATATTTTATGTATTCGTATTATTATGTTTATTCATTAAAAATAAAAACCACATTATGAATTGATTACGTGATTATGATTTTCCTATGACGGCCTTTTTTGCCAAAACAGAAGGACCGTTCGTTATAAAGAGAGTATACTGTATAATTAATTAATTTTCTACAACAAAGCAAGAAAAAGAAGAACAATAACATCTCGTTATTTCAACTGTAATAATAACATCATTTTACCTAAATCCTTAAATCTGTTAACCACTATTGTTCAATCACCGACTGAATTTCTTCCGCCCCAAAAAAACTTTTATAACCACCATAATAGAACATAAAAATAGTTCTAATAATTTGTTACCTAATATTTCTTCTCATACAATAGTAGGTAACAGTGGTGGTAGCCGACCAAAATACACCCGATATAGATAAACCGTAGTTAAATCATTAAACAATACTAATGCTAATCCTAATAATAACAATAGCAATGATTCATTTGGAACAACATCTTTAACTACATCACATCCTGATAGTAGATCAAATAGTCCAAGCGTTAATATTGACAATCATAGTAGTAGTATATTGCCCTCTACTTCACATTCACCACGTATACCTGATGATAACAATAGGCTTCCTATACATGATAACGTTTCATCAATCTCATCGCAAAGAACATTACATCTTCGAATACTTGAAGCAGATCAAATACACCAGACATTGATAATAATAATAATTCTTCTAATAACGGTAATGATAATAGTGCACAGCACCTATAATAAGCAAATGATGACTTGCCTGAAGAACCACTTACAAGCAGTAATTTTGTTCACATAGAAATTACGGCAGAGATTAATTTTCCAAGTGCAAACATTAAAGAAACAATTGTTGGAGTATTTCATATTTTTAATCTTAAGGATAGTCTAGTAGCTTCAGTTGCCGCATTTAGACGATTGGGAATGGCAACAACAGCAGCAATCAAATTAGATGAAAAAGTTTTTTCAGTCAGGTGATCATCAGGATACTTGAAAGCCAAAAATGCAGTAAGGGTAGATGTTGGTATGTATATGCAAACGTTTGATTTAGAGGATGCGGTCTGAATGAAAATTCAAGGAATTGCAGTAGAGAATACATTCCAGTGCGCTTCCACAAAAAAAAAAAGGTTGCCAAGAAAAGAGTTGAAATTTGAAGTTGAAGGAACAGAGTTAAAAATTCCAACCAGAATAGAAAGACAGAGAACAATAGGAATAAAATCAAAAGAATCAATTGTAAAATGTGAAGCTATATTTAGACCTGAAGGCAAATTTGTTTTGTCAATCGCTATGAATACTGTAATAGTAAAAGCTATGGTTTGCAATAATTCTTGTACATTTCCAATCAAAAACATCTGGAGAAGCTAAAGGTATAGTAACAGTATAATTATTTGGAAGTGCTGAGGTTAAGGTTGGATGTTATTGCAAAAGGAGTCAGAGAGAGTTCTTCTCCATCAGCAACAACAAACATCACCATCATCACTAACACCATTACCAACATCGCCATCACCATTACAATTATTGTCACCTTCATCACCATCACTACTGTCATCATTGCCACGTTTGCCTTCACCAAATTAAGTTTTTTCTTTGACATTTATTGGTTTGATTTATTTATTTATTTTGTGTATATATTATATGTATATCTTTATATTCCATTTCTTGTGTCACAGTAAAGCTTATTTATCTTGATTTTACGCGCCTTGTTTTATATTAATATAACGATCGACCATAATCATAATCTTTAATTAAGATATATTTTAAATGTAACTAACTTAATGATCCATCATCATTTTATCAATAGTATGGATCAAAAGCAAAATTAAATTATTATTTCCTCACTAATAACCAGGCATACCAGGTACAAAGTCAGGTCCCAAAACCGTTGAAATCTTGGAAATTAATTCATAACCTGAAAATGGAGGCGTTTCCAATTTGGCCATTATAATACCAATGCTATAAACATCACTTGCCGATGTGTGATTCTTGTTGAACAATGCAATGTAAGGAAGTCTCTGCAAATTGCTGATTGTTTTTTTCTTTCAATACAAAAATCAGCAATATATGGTTTAGCCACATCGCCTTTATAAGCATCTATTTGAAACATACTATAGCTACAAATATTGAGAGTATATTGAAGATTCATTATGATCTAATTTAGAAATTAAATTATATTGATCAACCCCATTGTGATTTAACCTGGTAAAGTGAGAAAAGAAGGAAGGAGAGAAAGAAAGAAAATAAATTTTTATTTTTTACCGATTCAATTAATTCTAACAAGTTTCCCACAACCTTTAATTTGATTCTTATTTTCGTTATGCGTGTGTGTGTGTATTCATTCGATCAATCCATCCAAACCGCCGTATATACAACACCATAATCAACTTTGCTGATATTTTCTAGGACTAAAAATAAATAACTAAATTATGCTGCCCAATCGTGTTTCTGACATGTGACCTAGCCTCTTTCGTTATAACCCCATATTTAATTTTAAAAGAAAAAGATTAACGTCACATTTTGACCAAGTGAAAGAACAATCAATCAACCGTTTAATTAAAACTTTATATTTCAGTTTTTGTTTATAAGTGTAGAGTTTCTATTCGTAACACAAATCATTATTCGAATTCTTCGTTTTTTCGTTTTATTCATTTTATTCAAATTATTCGCTGTTTTATTCAAATTATTCGAATTACTCGTTTTGTTTGCTTTATTCGTTTTATTTATTCTAATTTACTCGTTTTATTCATTTTATTCGAATTATTTTGCTGTTTTATTCGTTTTATTCTAATTACTCGTTTTATTCATTTCATTCACTATTCATTTATCAATTATTCGTTCATTTAAATAAAAATTATTATTGTACATGACTTTTATATTCATGATTAAGTCATTATTATTGTTACGAAGAAGATAATCATTGCTAGAGATGGGAAATTTGCGCATTTTATGCAGTACACTTGTTTAGGTTCCATTGATTTTTTTATATCTAAAAAAAAAATCCAAAAATAAATATTTACAATATTATCATGACTACTATTGTTTCACCGTCAGCACTATCATTTTCGCCATGTGGTACTTTTTGGACATTTTAGTTTGTAATTAAAATAAATATACACCAGTTTAAACACATTCAAGTGTGAATTTGTTTCTCTTTTTATCATGTATAAAAGAAAAGTAGACCAATTTCTTTTTAGAAGCAAGCTGATGAAATAGGCGCTGAAATTATTAATTCTATTCAGTTTAACAAAATGAGGCCAAAATTTCGATTCTGCCATTTCTTAAAAATGCAATAACTTGTAAAAATTTAAGAATTATTGAATGATTTGTCACATCTCTGATTTGGTTCATGTAGAATTTGTTTAAAAAAAGGAAGTTTCAAATGATTCAAAAAAAATGGTGTTTGCTTATTTTGAACATGTTAAAAAAAATTACCGTGTATATAGCATTCATATTGTGTAATCGAATATAGTCAAATGATCAACATCGCTATTAATCTTCATAACTATCTATATACATTCATTTGATAAATCTATCCAATTCTTGAAATACACTTTACTTTAGGTGGTGGTGATAAAATGGAGTTTTTTGTAATCGGAATTAGGACACACCAAGGTACATATATTAGTATGGATTCGTTTACATTCGGAGCATAAAATTCATTAATTGAATTCCTGTGTAGAAGAAAAGATGCTTGTCATTTTTGTTTGATTAAATATAATCGAGGAGGAGGGAAAAGAGTGTGATATAAATTATGAGAAAAAAAATCTCGGCAGATTCTTGGCGTTGATGTGATTTGATATTTGATTATATCACCTTTATATTGTTCTAACGCGATAGATAATTTTAAAATCAACCTTTATTTTTTGAAAGTAAACTCCGAAAAATTATTCTAATCTTGCATGAGAATTCTAAATATATCGAATTTTTTTAAAAATATATTACATATTTCAATTTATATCATCAGTTTTTTAACACAATTATATAAATCACCAGTCCTTTAAATCATCAGTTTTTTTAACACAATTATTTAAATCACCAGTTCTTTAAATCATCCATTCATTTTTTAACAAAATCATTTAAATCACCAGTTCTTTAAATCATCTGTTATCCATTTTTAAAATCGTCAGTTTTTTCTTGAAAAAAATGAATCCAAATTTCTAAATTAATAAAATTGTTGCATCGAATGATTATTATTATGCAATTATTATTATTATGTACAAATTACTTCCTATTTTTCTAAATTTTCTCAAAAGGACAGGCAGGTACAGGGATCGGCATATTTGCCTGTCCCCTGTCTTTTCCAGATTTGATAGATGAATATTGAAAAGCACAGGGGACAGGCAAAATTTGCAGATCCCTGTACCCTGTGCTTTTCATCGGGCCGGTACATATGATATCCTTTTTTTGAATTGATTATGATAAATATTGTCATTTTCCTTGAAAATCCTCTGAAATAATGCAATTAGAACAAGACACATTAAAACCCAAATAATAAATAAATAACAATACATACTTCTATTAATAATAACATCTTGCAAGTATCTTCCAACTTAAACCAATCATCTTCAAACTTCCAAGGTATTTCTAGTTTGTAAATTTTTTCAACAAGATATTTATCTTTTCCAGCTAAACATACCCTCCATAGTTCACCTTGTTTCCCTAGTTTATTATTAAAAAGTCAGCACTGAGGATGAAAAAAAAAGGCAATAAAGTTTTGAAAAAAAACTTAACTGTGCACAATATATATCAATATGGTATATTTTCTGGAAAATTTTATGTCTCCTTTATTATCCCAAAATTTATTACAAAGGGTATCTATTGCATTGTGGAATGATTTTTGTAGGTCACTAAAAATTTTGAGACACAGTTTATTAGAAAGTAATTTAGATATTTACGAAAGTCAATTTCTCTTCTCAATGCACCTATGATATTTCAGATGATCATATTTTTTCAGAGGACATATGTTCTCAAAAATTAACCTTTCTATAGTACAGAAAGCACACCATCACATTTTCTGCTGGCTTTCTTATTAGATCCATATACAAGTTGCCTTCTCCATTTCGATGATGGGTGCACCATTTCACACCATGAGCTTGTGAACAGATCAGGTTCATTTCCTTTTAACAATTCAAAGTCTGGTGCAATCCATGTTGCTGTGTATGTCGCCTCATTCATAATTTTATTAAACTCTGATTTCCATTTATAGGCCCTAAGAATTTGGAATTGTATTTAGTAAACTAGATGAGAATTAATCAAGGATCAAATGGTAATATTACCATGTGTCCAGAATTCTTTTTATAAATTCAGTGCTCTTTGGGTCTAAGTCAACTTTTTTTTCTTGAATAGATTTTATAGTATCATCCACATTATGCTGGTAATAAAAGATTATAATGAAAAAAAAAAATGTTATTATTGTTATGCAATTCCAGTGACATCATTGTTGGCACAAGTTCCTCAAATACATCTAGTACATAATTATCAATTGCATCCTTTTCTTTGTCTGAGATATCAGGGACTCAATTTTCAAGAGCCCATTTTTTCAGTTCACTGTAGTCAAAATTTCCAGATATCTTACTGTGTTGACTTACTCCACTGTGATCAGAAATGTTTATGATGTCGGCCATGCAATAACTAAAATATAATTCAATATATAATTCAATATAGATCCAAAGAAAAGCATAATTTACAATAAGAATCAGGGAATAACCATTTGTCAAATTCATCATCATCAGTTGTATTGCTCTCACTTTCACTTTCACTTTCACTCTCATTTTTGTCTTCTAATTTGTCAAATTCATCATCAGTTGTATTGCTCTCGCTTTCACTTTTGCTTTCACTTTCACTCTCATTTTCACCCTCTATATTGTCCTCTGTTGGATTCCTTATGAGAAAAATAGCCAATAAAAATATAAGTAATTATAAACTAGAGTAGCAGAAACAGTTTGAACAATCACTACCTTTAAACATAACCTACCCTTTTGTTTCAATTGCTTCTTTTTCTTTTTTTCTTCTCTTTGCTTTTCCCTGATCTCTGTTTGACATTTTGAAAAAATTTTTGTATTATGGGGGGAGCATAGATAAAAATCCTTTTATAGATAACCAGAGTGATGGCAAGTGGTGGGCGATAACCACTACCACCATCCTTAAAACACTTACCCTCTTTCAAGTATATTATTTTCCTTACTTCTACATTTAAGATCTTTTTTTGTCATTTTGAGTAAAAAAAAGAATCACGTTAAAAAAATAAACGTAAAAAATTATTATTATTATTATTGGTACTTGATGTTGTACAAAAAAAAATTTTAATTTTTTTTTTTTGGAAAAACAATTTATTTTTTGGCAGAGTCCAAGGAGGACCCCGGAAACTACATAGATAGGTTACATTATTTTTGGGTAAATCAATATGTAAAAAAATCGAAAGGTCAGAGAAAATTCTGGGTAAATTAATATATATGGTTTAAAGGGTCATGACTTTTGTAGGGCAAAGAAAAAAATAATTATGCTAGAAAATGGGTAAAATTAAATATAAATATTTCAAATATTTTTATGTTGGTTCCATTTGGGTAAATTATTTAGGGGATAAATTTTAAAATTACACAAATTTTTTTAAAAAAAAAAAGTTAATATTAACAGGGTTGTGAAATTTCGCTGTACGAGAAGAATCTTCGTACGTACGTACATACGTACATACGTACGACTGACTTCGTACCATTGAGTTCGTACAGTTTTGTTGCGGCCGTACACCTGTACGAGGAAATTTTACATATGTACGTACGTACGAATGTACGAATGTACGATTTATCAGAAACGATTATTTTCTGCAGTGATAAAATATCACACCGTAAAATCTTATAACAATATCATTACAATTAACGGATTACTATTACCAGATGTTGTAACACTTGATTATCAAACTGATTGTTGTATTCTGTGGTACGTTATTATTATTATTATAGTAATAGTATAAGTATATTCCATGATTTTTATATATTTTTTTTTAAGAGTATATAATGAATAATAAAAAAATTACACATTCATTAATTGTTATCAATTGTTGAAAACATAACCATATCTTTCAAGTGTATACAGTCATTAATTCCACAATTCTTTTATTCCAATGGTTAAAGCTTTGAAAAATTACATTGTTGAAACAAAACAAAAAAGTGGTTCTAGTAACAAATTATGTTACTGCAAAGCTTGCTTTATTAAACTTGGTGAAAACAGCAATGAATTAAAAACAATAGTAGATAAAACTGAACGTATAATTCAACATTTTAATGATTGTCAAAATTTTCAATCTTTCAAGTGTATACAGTCATTAATTCCACAATTCTTTTATTCCAATGGTTAAAGCTTTGAAAAATTACATTGTTGAAACAAAACAAAAAAGTGGTTCTAGTAACAAATTATGTTACTGCAAAGCTTGCTTTATTAAACTTGGTGAAAACAGCAATGAATTAAAAACAATAGTAGATAAAACTGAACGTATAATTCAACATTTTAATGATTGTCAAAATTTTCATGTTGTGTATAGCCAAGAAGAAAAACTTAAAATACTAGCTCTTGGTAATAGTAATAATAATGATAATAATAACAATACAATAAAAAGAAAAAGTAAATTAATTTATTTAATTAATAATTTAATTAATTAATAATTTATTTTATCTAATTAATAATTTATTTAATTAATAATTTATTAATTAACAATTTATTTATTATTACATGAATTAATTTCTTTTCTATTAGGATCAAATTCTACTTCGTCTCAATCATCTAATTATGGTCCTTTAGATAATTTTGTTGCCAGACCTTTATCTAAAGCAGATAATGAAGTTTTTCATAAACTTATATTAAAAGCCACTATTTCTTGTGGTTTTCCATTATCTTGGGTGAATAATCAAGAAACAACAGAATTATTTAAATTTCTCAACCCACATATCAAACTACCAGATAGAAAAACCCTTTCCACTAAACTATTGAATGATGCAGTTAAAGAATATGATAATGTCATGTTAGAAAAATTAAGATTAGATCAAATAGGTGTCACACTTATGTTTGATGGATGGACGAATGTTAGGCAACAAGAATTAATGGGATGTGTTCTTTTGATGTCAGATGGAGAACCATGTGTATGGCAAGCTATGGATATTAGTAGTGAACGTGATACAATGTTTGAAGTTATGACTAAAACTGAAGAATTAATTTCCAAATTAATCGATATGAAAATAACATTGTTATCAATAGTAACTGATAGTGCACCTTCCTATAATGCATCAAGGCAAGTGCATATTAATTTTTTCTCATTGCCTCAAACTATCATTGAATATTTTATTGATTTATAATATAAATCTTTAATTATTAGGGCAAGATTACGACTTAAACATAGAAATATTGTTTTTTTACCATGTTTTGCCCATCAGGTGAATTTGTGTGTAGGGGAAATTTTTAAAATTTCATCTGAGTTCAAAAATACATCAGGCAATGCCTTAAAAGTGTCAGCCTATTTTAAAGATGCTAGACATAAATATTTCATTGGCCAACTTCGTGATATTCAAAAAGAACTTTATAGCAAATATATTCAACTTGCACTTCCATGTAATACCAGGTGGAACAGTCAACATAATTGCTTTAAAAGTTTAATTGCTACTAAAAATGCTTTACGTGTAAGTTATTCTATTTATTTTTACAATCTTTCAAAATAGTAGTTTTGATTCAAATAAAATAATTGACAATTATTTTTTACATAGTCTTTGGCAATAAAATTTGATCCTTCTTCATCAACGAATACATTGAAAATTTCACATGAAATGTATTGTATTATAATGAATGAATCTTTTTGGGATGAACTTTTAAAATTGGATCAAATTTTGATTCCTTATTGCAATATTTTGAATAAACTACAAAGTGACAAGGCAAGATTATATGAAGTTTTACATTGTTATGCATATTTGTATCAATTTTGGAAAAGTTATTCTGATGAACTCTTGGCCAGTAGAATATTATCAAGATTGGAAAATAGATGGAGTTTATGGGAACAACCTCTTCTCATTCTTTCTTGGCTTCTTCATCCTGTTTACAAATCAAACTATTTCACTTCTGCTTCTATATCAAAAATAAGTTATTTACACATGGGGAAGTGGCTTGTTTATTATTATAAAGCATGGACTGAAAAAGAACCTAAAACTATTCTTAATGAATTTTATGATTTTTCACAAGGAAGAAAATATCCTTTTGATAATGCCTCCATTGATCAGTTTGAAAATAATATTCACAAATATTGGTGCTGGGTTCAGGATGCCTATCCAGAAATTGGAATTGTTGCAGCACGTATTTTTGGTATTTGTATTAATGCAGCTTCAGTAGAACGACTGTGGAGTAGTATGGGATTTTTTCATTCAAAAAATCGAAATAGATTGGAGGTAAAAATATAGTTTTATTTACATTAATATAGTAAATTATTTTCTTTTTAAAATTTGACTATTTCTTTTACTATATGTAGTTCACTAGAGTCTTAGAAATGGCAAAATTGAAGGCTGGCATTACATATAATCGACTTCTTCAACAAGAACTTTCTTTATCAAATAAAGAAATAAATTTAGAAGAACAGAATAGCATTGAAAGAGAAATGATATTGGAAGCCGAATCTTCAAATGTAAATACTAACTTAAATGAAGAAAGTTATTTGGGTGAACAAAATGATGAACAGGATAATAATAGTTTAGAAGCAGATGTAATTGCACAGTTTAATAATAATTTGGGTGAGTGGATAGAAATTCTTCAAGAAGAAGAGAGAAATAAACGGTCAAGAATATGAAAAAATTTCAATTAAACATGCAATTAAATTTACAACAAAAGTTT